GCTCAGGTCATGATCTCCTGGTTTGTGGGTTCGAGCCCCACATCAGGGTCTGTACTGACAGCTCAGAGCCTGGAGCCTGCTTTGGGTTGTATGTGTCATTCTCTCTGCCCTTTGTCTGTTCCGGCTCTGTGTCTCAAAAATAAATAAATGTTGGGCCACCTGGGTGGCTCAGTCAGTTAAGCATCCAACTTCAGCTCAGGTCATGATCTCACGGTTTGTGTTTGAGCCCCGTGTCGGGCTCTGTGCTGACAGCCAGCTCAGAGCCTGGAGCCTGCTTCAGATTCTGTGTCTCCCTCTCTCTCTGACCCTCCCCTGCTCACGCTGTCTCTCTCTCTCTCAGAAATAAAACAGTAAAAAAAAAATTTTTAATAAATAAATGTTAAAAAAAATAAATAAAAATATTAAAAAAAATAAAAGCTTAAATAGCTTATTCTGGATCTGAAAAAACCCTGAAGGATTCTATTTGCGCTAGAGCTGAAGGTTTGTGCACTCAGCGCCCAGTAGACTTGGTGTGCGCCCGGGGTTTCTGCCGGTCTTCTGGGGGCGGGGCGTGCTGTGCTCATTCTCAGGTGAACTTGCCCAAGTGGAGATGCACCTGCAAGGTGCAAGGGGACGGGACTTGATGCGAGAAGCTCCAGCCTTGTTTTCTCTCTGAGGTCAGTCATTGTTGATGGGGGTGGGCTGCACGGGTTGCGGCTGGCATGGCCCTGCTCTCCTCTCCAGAGCAGGGGACCTGTGCCCGTCACTCCTCAGGAAGCCCTCACAGAAGGACAGACAGTTACCTCTCCTGTCCTCAGCTTCACTCAGATCCCTGCCTTCACCCCGTGTCTGAGCCATCCGTCTGCCAGGCCGCACAGCGCTCCGGTGTTTTATCTCAGGCACAGTTGGGTTTCAAAACTCTAAACACAGCCCCCCACCCCCTCCAAACCCGGGTCCATGCTGATCCTCTGGGACGGGTCTCACTGTGCTGTGGCTGGGGGCTGGTTTGTCCCAGGAAACAGTCACGCGACTGTGCAGCATCTTGGAATTCGTGCTAAAGCGCAGCAGGGAGCCAGCCCCAAGCACCGTTGCCCTTAGCCGGCATCTTTGTTCCATGTTGGTGAACAGGGCAGGTCAGTGGCGCCACAGGGTCTTTGTCTCTGGAGAGACAGTGCCATCTCCCAGATGCACAACCAGGAGTGGGAACTGTTGCTCTCCATGCGACCCAGTGCGTCTTCAGACCATGCTGCTCGCTTCCAGGTCTCTGCGCTCCTTCCCCACTGGAGCACCGCTAAGTGTGACCCTGTCAACAGAGTGGACCTCGAAGCCTTCAGACTTTGTGCTCTACTGTTTATAAAATACTTGTGGTATTTTAACTCCTCTCGTTTTCCCAGTCAGTGGTTTTGGGAAAGAGTTTTCTTGTGCAGTCCCTTGTGCATGTTCGTTCTCTCTCGCTCTCTGTCTCTCTCTGTCTCATTTCTCTAGATAATCCGGGCTCCCTCCCTTCTGCAATGCCTGCAGCTCTTTTCTCCCGCAAATCAGCTTTCCACAGCTTCTCTCTTCCATGAGGTGGTCATTTTTATACTTGTAGAAATGAAGCTCTGTGTTTTCAGTCCTCAGATGAAGTTCTTGGATGTTCAGAATGATTTGGTGTTTTTCTAGCTGAGTTTGAGGGATGAGGCAAGCTTAGGGTCGCCCTGTTCCTCTGCCATCTTAACCGTTCTCTGCTGCCTTTTCTCAAGACGACAGGCCTGGCATTTCCTGCCTACTTCATCTTTGTGCCCATAAAACTCAGTTTAGCTGGAAGAAAAATGTCATGGGGAGAAGTCATGTTAAAATCGTGAGCATGAAACACAAGTGGACCTGTGTTGTTTCCATGCTGTTTTCTCCCCCGCTCTCCTAGAGCACCATCCCATTCCTTCTCCCTCTTCTCAAGCCTCCTACCCCTGGCCCCGCTCACCCGGGAAGACCCTGCTCTCCACACGGCCGAGAACTTCTCCCTGACGCTACCCTGGATGCCGCCTTGGCATCCGATCCCATGTGCTCTGCTCCCCCCTTTTCCTCAGATGGACTCTCCGTGCTTACGGGGAAGCCCTGCTTAGACCGCAGGCCTCACCCCTTCGCCGCCTACAGCCCTGCTCCCGCGTTTCTGGCTTCTCTGTCTCACACCGTCCATTCTCCGCTCTGCTGAATCTTGCCCTCAGTGCACACACTTGCTGTTACTTCTTAAAATCGCTCAGCCTCTTACTCTGTCAGCCACAACCGTATTTGTTCCTTTGTAGCAAAACTCCTCGCAAGCGTCCTCTCTTTCAGCTGTCTCCAGGTGACACTGCGCGCCTGTCCTGTCTGCACAGGCTTCTTCAGGCTTCTGCCCACACCACTGCTCTGAAACGGCCCCTGTTGGGTCTTCCGCCTCCCCCCGATGGCAGCCCCGCGGGCGGTCCTCAGCGCTCCTGTGGCTTGGCTGTCAGCAGCGCGTGACTCGTTAGAACCTTGGTTCGTTTTACTTGCGGGATGCCTGGGCTCTGGGTTTTGCTCTCACCTCGCTGATCGCCTTGCTTCCTCCTCTTTAGCCTAATGGTGGAGGCCACCCGGCAGGGAGGCCGTCCTGTCTCCCTCGAAGACCTCCTGTGGTTTCATGCCTTGTCCCTCACGTAAATCCCAGCCTGGACGCCCGGTGCACTGTCTGGTCTGTCTCACTGGCCCCTGGACGTCGTACCTCCGCATGTCTCCAAGCGAGCGCCTGATCTTCCCTTCCCCGGCCGCCCCTGTCCTAGGCGGTGGCGGCCGACCTCCCAGATGCCCCAGCCGCAACCCTACAGCCGTTCTCTTCTCTTTCTCCTACACTGCACGCTCTTCCGTCGGAAACCGGGCCCAGAACTGAGTTGCCATCTCTGAGTTAAAGGACTAGCTGGCTACCCGCCCTCTGCTCCCACCCTGTCTTTTCCATGGGTTCTTTTCCATGCAGCTGTCCGTGATTTTTCTGGAAGGATGCCAGGTCGTGTCCCTTCTCTGCCCATGGTCCCCCTGTGGCCCCACTTTTTCTTACAAGAGCCCCAGTTCTTAAAGTGGCCTCAAGCTCCTGTATGATCTGGGTTCCTTTACCCTTTCCCTGCGTCTCCTTCTCTGCGTCGTTCCTTCTGCCCTAGTTCGCTGGCTTCCGTGCTGTTCTCCACTGTGCCGGGCACCGTCCTTCCTGGTGTGCTTGCTGCTGCATCTGGGACTTCTCCTCCCCTGGACGGCCGCGTGGCTCATTCCTGGCCTCGTCAGGTCTCTGTCCAGTGTCACCCGTCAGAGTGAACATGGCGCTTCCTTTCCCTGCGCACCCCTCCCCCCTCCCTCCCTACAACATCCTCGCACCTCCCCCCCTCCCCCGCCTTTTGACAGTTCTCCCTGCAGTCTTGGTTTTGTGTCCAAGGACCCAGCACAGTACCTGACGAGGTATTTTATAAATGGTAATTGCTGTTGAATTCTTTTTTTAACTTTATTGAGGAGTAACTGAAAAATATGTGTATATATTTAAAATGTACAGTGTGATGATTTTATATGCATATACGTTGCGGAATAATTAGCAAGATCAAGATAATTAACACATCCGTCACCTTACATAGTTAACTGTGTGTGTGTGTGTGTGTGTGTGCGCGCGCGTGCTGAGAATGCTTAAGAATTGCTCTCAGCAATGACATTGGCTCTCAGTATACACAGAGTCACCGTGTTGTACTCTGCTCCTTAAAACATACTCCTCTTATAACTGAGGGTTTGTGTCCTTTGACCTTGATCTCCTCATTTCTGTTTCCCCCAGCCTCTGGCAGCCACCACTCTGTTGTTGCTACGAAATTGATTTTTTTTCCTTTTTTTCCTCTAAGATTCTACATATATGTGATACTATACAGTGTTTGTCTTTCTCTGCTCAGCTTATTTGCCTTTGAATCCTTAACCTATTTAGACATATATGTTACCATGTTAGTTTTAATAAATCTCTGCCTGCTGATAGCAATGCTTATCTTTTAGAAATTACACATTTATTAATTATACTCCACAATTTTATAAATATGGAGGCTGATGTTTAGGGAGGTTAATGACCTTGTTTCAAGAGCTTTCAAGGCACGTAACTGGGATTTGAGCCTTGATCTCACCTGAACCCAAAGTCCATGCTGTCTATGATGTGACCCCTCCCCCCACCCCCCAGTGTGCCAGGGGAGGTCCTTTGAGCCTGAGTCTCTTCCTGTCACCTGGCTGCTTTGTTGGCAGTTGTGAGGCTTACATGAGAGTGGATGGATATCAAGGTTTGCATGCATATTAACAAGCTCTTTAGGGCTCCTCTCTGCCTTCAGGCTCACATCAGGTGAGTTCTCAGGTGGTAGGCAATGAGATTTTGCTTTTGCCGGTGCGCCTTGCCTCAGCTTTCAGGCGCTCCCCATATCATGCACCCACATAAGCCCTGTAGGTGACGGATTTTTCCTTAGTTTTGACATCAGTCTTGAGTTTTATTTGTACAATTGCAAATTGCTTGTAGACATTTCTAGGAGTTTCTTCACAGATGTCATTTAGTCCATCTGAAACCAATCATTTTCTTAAAATCCACTTCTTCTCATAAGTTCCAAACAGAATCTGCTTTCAGGGCTGGTGACTTTGAATCTTTTATTCATCCCTTTACCTCAGCTCTTCCTTCATTTAGTCATAAATTCCTATTAATTTTTTCTTTACCAAATAATCCCCCATTTATCTTTCTATTTCAGTTAATAGCTTAGTGTAGACCTTTGTTACCTCATGGCAGTGTTATTGCAGTGAACTCCTTAGTGGTGCCTTCTTCCTTCTGGAATCAGTTTTGTTGATGGTATGAGGTGAGTCTTTACTCTCAACTCCATTCCCTTTCTTGAAAAACTTGATGTTTTTGAAATGTGATTGACCAAGCCTTTCCTTTTCTGCTCTCTGTACTAGGGCAGCACTTATGTTTTGATGATGTATCTCTTTTCTTCTATTGTGTTATTTTAATTCTAGTAATTTTTTTTTTTTGAGAGGCTTTGAAACAGCAGATAGCAGATTTACAGGAAGATTTGAAAAGAAAGGAAGCAAAATGGTCAAGTACACATGGCCGTCTTAGAAGCCAAATAGAAATGTTGGTCAGAGAGAACACAGACCTCAGGGAAGAAATAAAAGTGATGGAAAGATTCCGATTAGACGCCTGGAAGAAAGCAGAAGCTACAGAGAGCAGCATCAGGATGGGTCCATGTGTGACTGCTACAAAAAAAGATGGGTCCATGGTAGGTGTGGAGCCAGTTTCATCATGTCAGGGAGATGTGAAATATTTGAGCCCTCAAATTTATAGAGCCGGAGCAGAGGAGGTGGGGAGGTGGTAGGGGACGTGATCAGAGATGTGGTGGAGGGAGGTGGGTACAGAGTTCATTAGGCCTTAGTCAATTCCTGTAAGCACTTGGGTATTTCCTCTGAGTGAGAAGGCGAGCTGTGGAGGGCTATGGTTGAAGAGGGAGCCTGATCCTTTATTTTAGTAAGTTCACTCTGTCTGTTCCTGACTGGAGACTGAATGGGGAGGAGAGGGGTATAGGCACAATTAGGAATACCAATTAGGAGATTTTACGGTAATTCACACCAGAGATGACAGGGGCTTAAGACTGTGCGAGTGGCAGTGGAGGGCTGAGAAGTGGACAGAATTTATTGATAAACTGGTTCTTGGGTGTAACAGCAAGGAAGGAGTCGAGAATGGCTTCCAGTGGGGTGCCTGGGTGGCTCCGTCAGTTCAGCATCCAGCGTCTGGTTTTGGCTCAGGTCATGATCTCACAGTTTTGTGAGTTTGAGCCCTGCATCGGGCTCTATGCTGACAGTGCGAAGCCTGCTTGGGACATTCTCTCTCTCTCTCTCTCTCTCTCTCTCTCTGACCCTCGCCTGCTTATGCTGTTTCTCTCTCAAAAATAAACAAACTTAAAAAAAAAAAAAAAAAAAAGAATGGCTTCCAAGTTTAGTGTAGTGGTTTGGCATAATAGAGTTTCCATTTATTGTAAGAAACCACAAGAAAAGAGCATGTATTTCTTGGGAGCGTGGATATTAGGGTCTCGGGTTTAGATGGGGTTAGTTTGAAATGCCTGTTAGCCCTCAGGTAGAGATGTTAACTGGGCAGTTATGCACATATTAGAAGGTCAGGTTGGAGCTAGAAGTTTAGGGGTCATCAGGATGTGTGGTAAAGCTTTGGGCTGGCAGAATTCACTGAGTGTGAAAGTGTGGGTAGTGAAGAGATCCACATACTGAGCCAGAGTGTGAGAAGGTGGGGGGTGGGGGGGTGGGAGGGGAGAAAAATTGTCAACCAGAGAGGATGGAGTGAAGGAGGCCAGTGTGCTGTCCTGAGAGCCAAGTAAAGATAGCAGTTCTCAGAGGAGAGAATGGCCAGTGATATGAAAGCTGCTGCTATGTCAGATGAGGGCTGAAAATTGGTCATTGGATTTACCATGTAGGAATGTGTGGAAGATAAAAGCCTGACTAGATAAGAGAGAAAGAAAAGTTTCAGACAGAGAATAAGAACTTTGTGGAGACATTTTGCACTTAATGGAAAGAGAAGGGGTAGTGGCTGTAGGGAAAGTTGTTTGTTTTTAAATGGGAAAATTAAGAAGCGTTTCTCTATTGATAGAATTGATTCAGCAAAGAGGAAAATGCCAATGCAGGAGAAGGTGAGAGCATTGTTCACGCAGCATTCATAAATGAGAGAAGGGGGGATTTCGGGAATGGAGGGAGGGTCTGGCCTTGGCCAGAAGCATAGACAACATGTGGCTGGTAGCAGAAGGGTGCAGGTATGGACCCCAGGCTCAATGTGTGGCATCTCCTGGTAGGAAGCTCCCTCCTAATGCTAACATTGTCAGTGAAGTGGGAAGCTTGGTCACCAGCTGAGAGTGAAGAGGTAGGAGGTTTGGGGAGATGAGAGGAGGAGAGTGAAAAGCAAAGGGATTAAGGAAGTGTGGTCTGATTCCTGGGCTGCTTTGGGAGCCCATGTAGGTTAGAGATCATATATTTCAGATGAGAATCGTTTGCATTATTTTCTTGTTCAGCATTTTGGTTGTAAGGTGGTGGAGAGTTACATTTTAGAAGAAGTGTGGGATCCAGGTGAATACCACAAAGTGAGTGAAAGGTATGGAAGTCAGCAGTGTATGCAGCCAGAGTCACTGCAGTGAAGCATTGTTTAAGCTGCATAAGGCTATAAGGTTTTGAGGGACATAGAAAATCTATATGGATCAATGAATTGTAGGACCCTGTATGTGGGCCTGTGAGCATTGGTGGAGTTTAGGGTATTAGAGGAATGAATTAATTAGATACAGAGTGAGAAGAAAATGTGGTTTTCCCTACCTCCCCAAATCTTTTATTATAACAGCTTCCCCAAATAGAGACATTTGAAAGAAAAGTAGGATGAACATCTGAATAGTCCCCTAGATTCAATCATTGTTAACATTTAACCACTTGTGTATATGTGTTTTGCTGCACCGTTTGAAGCTAATTGCAGAAATCGTGACATCTTACCCCAGAATACTATAGCATTTTATTAAATGGCTTTGGCTTTTTGAGTAGACCAGTCTATTTTGTTGAATTCCCCACATTCTAGATTCAAAGGCGTTGAAATTGAGATTTTTACAGTTCTTGATAATTGCAGATATCGATGATGTCTAGTTGTAGAGTTTGTCCATTGGCGTGCATGGCTAAGGTAGGGTAGAGGCGGTTAGGAAACTGAAGCTAAGGCGCTGGAGTTGTCCCCTGGCCGGGTGAGTACTTGCTGACTGAGCTGTGGGTGTGAGACACAGAACTGGTTAGGCAGGAGAGAGGTTTGGTTGGACTCAGGGATGGGGAGCAAGGAAGACCTACCTCTACCCTGCCTCTAAACCTAGGGATGTGAATTCTGAGGGTGTGAAACTTCCATCCCTAGGAGGAGGCAGTGGGGAGCCATCTCAGTGAGGAGCTAGGGCTCAAAGTGAGAGCAAGATGGTGAGGAAAGTGTTCACGAGGCTCAGAGTGAGAGCAAGATGGCGGGGGACGTGTTCACAGGAGAGGCAGAGATTTGGGGGTTTTGCAGATGTTGAGGAGTAACTGCCTTCTTTGGCTAATCTGGTAACAGTTATAGAATCCTTTGATGTTACCTGTTATGCCCTCACTTGAAGAATGAATATACAGTTGACCCTTGAGCAACATGGGTGTGAACTGTGTGGGTCCACTTGCACACAATTTTTTCAATAAATACAGTGTGGCACTGTAAATAGATTTTCTCTTACGTATGATTTTTTTTTAAGTTTTTAAAGTTTTAAAAACTTTTATTTATTTTTTAAACATTTTATTTATTTTTGAGAGAGCGCAAGCAGGGGTAGGACAGACAGAGAGGGGGACAGAGGATTTGAAGGGCTCAGCACTGACAACTGTGAGACTGACGTGGGGCTTCAACCCATGAACCGGGAGATCATTATCTGAGCTGAAGTTGGAGGCTTGACCGACTGAGCCACTCAGGTGCCCCTCGAATGATTTTCTTAATATCATTTTCTTTTCTCTAGCTTACTTTATTGCAAGAATACAATACATAGGGGCACTTGGGTGGCTCACTCAGTTAAGCATCTAACTCTTGATCTCAGGTCATGAGTTCAAGCCCCACATTGGGTTCCACACTGGATATGGTGCCTACTTAAAAAAAAAAAAAGAATATGGTATATACTACATATGACATACAAAATATGTGCTAATCTGCTGTTTCTATTGTTAGTAAGGCTTGTAGTCAACATTCAGCTATTAGTAGTCAAATTTTGAGGGAGTTGGAAGTTATACATGGATTTTTGTTGTTCAGGGCCATCTGTATTTCCAAAGGTGGGTGTGTGTGTGTGTATAGTTCATTCCTAACAGCTTGGTTTTTTGTTTGTTTGTTTGTTTGTTTTTTAATTTGTTTTTGAGAGACAGCGCAAGCAGGGGAGGGTCAGAGAGAGACGGAGACACAGAATCCGAAGACAGGCTCCAGGCTCTGAGCTGTCAGCACAGAGCCTGACGCAGGTCTCAAAACCACAAACCACAAGGTGATGACCTGAGTCAAAGTTGGACGCTTAACTGACTGAGCCACCCAGGTGCCCCTCTAATAGCATGTTCACTCTGACCTGTAGTGATGATAAATGAAAGCAACATAAACAAACAGACTTAAGCCATTCTCCTTGCAAGCTGAGTTTTAGTTTCACTGATTGTACTAATATGTGGACTAGCACTAATTTTATATTCAAAATTATCTCCTACTATAGAATTCATCAGTTCGATTACAAAAGAGTCAAATTTCTTCAGGAACCCAGGTAGAAAAATACAAGAAAAACCATTTGCCGACACAAGGTAAGAAGTTGCATGATACTTATATAAAATATTTCAGGAATTTATTGAGAACTTACACCTAATATAAGAAGTAAAACGTAAAATATCATTGAAGCCCCTATGTATTCTCTCCAACTTACTTCCACCCTGACAACATTCCTTTGCTTGTTTTTCATTCTTTTACTACATTGTGTCCATAAATTAATATAGTGTTTTTCTGTGTATCTCTCTACAATTTGCTTTTTTCTCTCAATATTTTGAAACCCACATTAATACATATAAAACTCTAGTTTATTGATTTTAATAGCTATATAGATTCCATGTATATTTGCTACAATTAAGTTTTCCTTTCAATGGAGTTCATGTTTTCACCCAGTTTGTCAATAGAATGAATATGGCTGCAGAACATATCTGTCATGGGAGTTTCTCCAGAATACATTTCAAGAGTAGGATACTGGGTCAGACCAGCTTTGTGCTACTGCAGGAGATTTTCCCTTTGCTCTGCAAAGTGGTTTTGCCAGGGTTTTTTTTTTGTTTTTTGGGTTTTTTTTCCCCCATCAACAGAATATGCTTTTTATGCTTACAACCCTTGACCTGGTCAGACTTTAAGATTGTGGCCAGTCAGATGGGCATGAAATGGTGGGTTAGTATAATTTTAATATGCATTTCTCTGATTTCTTGGTAAGGCCATGTGAGCATCTTTTTGTATATTTAATTGGCATTTGGGTTTCCTCTTTTGTTTATTGCCTGTTCATTCCTTTTGCCCATTTAAAATTTTTTAGGGAGAGGCTTCTCTTTATTGAAGTTATTCTGCATACTAATCCTTTGGCAGTTACAAGCACTGCCAAGATCTTTTCCCAGTCTGGGTTTAGCTTTTCGGTTTGTGTTTTTTATATACATGTTTTTCCTTTTAATATGGAATTTATCAATCTTTTTTTATGACTTTAAGAAATCCTTCTCAATCCTTAGTTCACAAATGTATTATTTTCTGTCTTTAACTTTTGTTTTCACAATGAGATTTTTAATCTACCTGGAAATTTTAGAAATTATTTTCATGAATTGAATTTATAAAAGTAGATATAAATTATGCAGCTTGATGGTTAGAAAGGAAATAATTGGATGAGTTCTAGCAAGATAAGGAGAGTAGCAGCACCCCGGAGCTGTCCCCTCCATGATTGTATTATGTTGCCTATCTTTGTAGTTTCTACTCTTACAGGTGCAGCCCTAAAAAAGTGCTTTGTTTTTGAACTTTCTGATTAGTTATATTGTATGTATCCTGTTGTCTTCTTTTACTGTATATTGTTTTTGAGAGTCATATTGATCTGCAACTCTAGTTCACTACTTTTCACTATAAGGCAATTTGAATGTTTATGAATATATTATAATTGACCTGTTGATGGTTAAATTTTTTTTTAAGTTTGGGATGTTCAACAATGAAGCTGTGAACATTTTTAAACATCTCTGGTTACAAACATTCATTTCTCTAGGGCACGTACTGCAGTTACTGGGTAATCAGTAAGAATATCTTTAACACTCACAGATTTTGCCAAGATATTTTCCAAAGTGATTTTACTGTGTAACCCTCAAGGTAATGTGAGTGCTTGCATTGCTCCACACCTTGTTGATACTTGGTATTGTCAGACTTCAGTTTTTTGCCATCTGGTATGGATGAAAACTATGTCGTCATGGTTTTGATTTGCATTACCGGGATTACTAAATATGTTAAATACCATTGCCTATGCTTATCACCTATTTAGATTCCCTCTTGGAGAAAAACTGGTCAGGTCTTTTACTCATTCTGTGGTGTTGTCTTTTTCTTTATTGGTTTGTGGGGGATTTCCTCTGTTGTAATCTTGTAAGAGTTACACACATTGCAAATATCTTCTTCCAGTCTGTGGCCTGCATTTTTACTCCTTATGTTATCTTTTGAGGAACCAAAACTTTCTTTTTGTTGTTAAAAATGTATTTGATAATTGACATTGTATAATTTTAAGATATATAATAATGTTGATATAAGTATTTCTATATTATGATTGCCAGTGTAGTGATAATTAGCACCTCTATCATATCACATAATTATACCTTAAAAATTTTTTCTTAATGTTTGTTTATTTTTGAGAGATAAAGCATGAGTAGGGGAGGGCCAGAGAGAGAGAGGGAGACACAGAATCCAAAGCAGGCTCCAGGCCCTGGGCTGTCAGCACAGAGCCCGATGTGGGGCTCGAATCCACCAACCGTGAGATCATGACCTGAGCCCAAGTCGGAAACTTAACTGACTGAGCCACCCAGGCGTGCCTTATTATTATATCTTTTTAATGGTTGAAGAATTTAAGATCTATTTGCTTAGCAAAATTGTTGATTGTAATACAATATTATCTATTTCACTATACTGTTCTTTAGTCTCTAGGACTTATTTAGTACTTATTGCAAGTTTGTACCCTTAAACATCATCTGCCCTTTTCCCCAAACTCCCACTCCCTGGTAACCAGTTTCACTCTCTTTTTACAAGTTTGGCTTCTTTAGATTCCACTTATAAGTGATATCATACAGTATTTGTCTTTCTCTGACTTATCTCACTTAGCATAATGTCCCCAAGGTCCATCCATGTTGTTGCAAAAAGCAGTATGTCCTTCTTCCTCATGGCAAAATAATATTCTATTGTGTATATATATCACATCTTTATCTATTCATACGTTGATGGGCACTTAGGTTGCTTCCATATCTTGGCTATTGTGAGTAATGCTGCAGTGAATATGGGCTTCAATATCCTGTTCTCGTTTCCTCTGGGTATGTACTCAGAAGTGGAATTGCTGGATCATATGGTAGGTCTATTTTTAATTTTTTGAGGAACTTCCATATTATTTACCATAGTGGATAAACCAGTGTACGTGACCAACAGTGCATAAGGATTTCCTTTTCTTCACATCCTTGCCAGCACTTGTTATCTCTTGTCTTCTTGATGATAGCTTTTCTGGCAAGTGTGAAGTAATATCTTGTGGTTTCGATTTGCAGTTCCTAGATGATTAGTGATGTTGAGAATCTTTTCATGTACTGCTGGCCATTCACATGTCTTCTTTGGAAAAATGCTTATTTAATTCCTTTGTCCATTTTTCAGTTATTTTTATTTTGCTATTGAGTTATAGGAGTTCTTTCTGTATTTTGGATGTTACCTCTGCAAAAGTTTTCTCCCATTCTGTATGTTGCCTTTTCATTATGTCAGTTGTTTCTTTTGTTGTGCAGAAGCTTTTGATTTTTGATTTGTTGATTTTTGCTTTTGTTGCTTGTGCCTTTAGTGTTATATCCAAGAAATCATTGCCAAGACCAATGTCAAGGAGCTACTTCCCTCTTTTCTTCTAGAAGTTTTATGGTATCTGGTTTTATGTTTACGTCTTTAATCCATTTCGGATTAATTTTATGAGTGGTCTAAAATAGAGATCCAATTTTACTTTTTTGCATGTGTTCAGTTTTCACAGCATCATTTGTTGAAGAGACTATCCTTTCCTTGTTGAGGGTTCTTGGCTCCTTTGTTGAATATTAACTGATTGTGTATGTGAAGGTTCAATTCTGGGCTTTCTAGTCTCTTCCATGGGTCTGTGTGTCCTTTTTTATGCTGTACCATACTGCTTTAATTACTCTAGTTTTGCAGTATGGTTTGAAATCATGAATTGTGATGCCTCCAGCTTTGTTTTTTCTTAGGATTGCTTTGGCTATTTGGGGTCTTTTGTGGTTCTATACAAATTTTAGGATTCTTTGTTGTGTGAAAAATGTCTTTGGTATTTTGATGGGGATTGCATTGAATCTGTAGATAGCTTTGGGTAGTATGAACATTTTAATTCTTCCCAGGAGCATAATGTATCTTTCCATTTATTTGTGGCATCTTCAGTTTCTTTTATCAGTCTTACAGTTTTCAGAGTCTAAGTCTTTCACCTCCATGGTTAAATTTATTCCTAGATATTTTATTCTTGTTGATGTATTTGTAACATAAAATTGTTTTCTTAATTTCTCTTTCTGATAGCTTGTTATTAGTTAATAGAAATTCAGCTTGTTTCTTTAATTTTTATATTCTACAGCTTTTATTAGTTCTATAAGTTTATTTCATTAGTTCTAATAGATTTTTTGGTTGAGTCTTTAGGATTTTCTGTATTTAGTATGTCATCTGCAAAGAGTGAAACTTTTGCTTCTATCCAAATTGGATAAGTTTGGATGCTTTTAATTTCTTTTTCTTGCCTATTGGCTGTGGCTAGGACTTCCAATTTTATGTTGAATGAAAGTGGTAAAAGTAGGCATCTTTGTCCTGTTTGTAATCTCAGAATTTAGCTTTTAGCTTTTCACCACTGAGTGATAGTTAATGTTCTTTTCCTTTAACCTTTATACTATAGTTAAGTGAGTAATACAGCATCCTTTTGTAGAATTGGAGTTTTCTATATTTGATTATAAATTTTTCGGGGCGCCTGGGTGGCTCAGTCGGTTAAGCGTCCGACTTCGGCTCAGGTCATGATCTCACAGTTTGTGGGTTCGAGCCCCGCGCTGGGCTCTGTGCTGACAGCTCAGAGCCTGGAGCTTGCTTCAGATTCTGTATCTCCCTCTCTCTCTGACCCTTCCCTGCTCGCTCGCTCGCTCGCTTTCTCTCAGAAATAAAGAAAACATTAAAAATTTTTTTAAAACAATAAATTTTCCATTTTTACCATTGTGTTTGCTTTTACATGTTTTCACACTGCTGATCGGCATCTTTTTGTTTCAGCTTGAAGAGTTGTTTTCAGCATTTCTTGTACAGCAAGTGATTAAACTCCCTCTGCTTTTGTTTATCTGAGAAAGTCTTTATTTCTCCTTCATATCTGAAGGATAACTTTACTGGACATAATATTCTTGGCTGGCAATTTTATCCTTCGTCACTCTGAATATATCGTTCCACTGTCTCCTGGTCTGTAGAGTTTCTGCTGAGAAATCCACTGATAGCCTCATTTGGTTTGGTTTGCGTTTTTTTTGGTAGGTTACCTTTTTTTTTTCTTCTTCCCTTGGCTGCCTTTAAGATTACTTATGATTAAGTTTTGACAGTTTCATTATAATATATCTTGGAGAAGGTCTTGCATGAAGTTCATAGGGTGTCCTATTAGATTCATGGACTTTGTTTGCTCAAGTCCTTACCCAGGTTTGAGAGGTTCTCAGCTATGATTTATTTTATTTTTAAAAGTTTATTCATTTATTATTTCTGAGAGAGAGAGAGCAAGCGAGCATGTGCGCAGAAGTGGGGGAGGGCCACAGAGAGAGGGAGACTCAGAATCCAAGGCAGGCTTCAGCTCTGTGCTGACAGCTCAGAGCCTGATGCAGGGCTTGAATTCATGAACCATGAGATCATGACCTGAACCAAGGTCGGATGTTTAACTGACTGACCACACAGGCGTCCCTCAGCTATGATTTCTTTACTCTCTGTCCCTTTTCCTCTCTTCTTCTGGAACCTAATTCTTCACATATTCGGCCTTGTGGTGGAATCTCATAGCTCTTGTTGGCTTTCTTCACTCTTTCTTAATCTAGTTCCTATTCCTTTTCTAACTGTATTATTTCTGTATTCCTCTTCTCCAAGGCACTTCTTTCTCTTCCATGTGTTCTGCTTTGCTATGGATGCTCTCTACTGCATCTTCATCTCATTCATTGAATTCTTCAGTCCAGGATTTGTTTAGTTCTTCTTTCTTTTTTTTTTTTTTTTTAATATTTTTATTTATTTCTAGGAGAGAGGGAGAGAGAGAGAGAGACAGCGTGAGCAGGGGAGGGTCAGAGAGAGAGGGAGATACAGACTCTGAAATAGGCTCCAGGCTCTGAGCTGGCAGTCAGCACAGAGCCCGACGCGGGGCTCGAACCCACGAACCGCGAGATCATGACCGAAGCGAAAGCCGGATGCTTAACCAACTAAGCCACCCAGGCGCCCCTAGTTCTTCTTTATAAGTTCAGTCTGTTTTGTAAAGAACTCTTGTTCATTAATTTTATTCCTGACTTCCTGGAATTGTCTTTTGAGTTTTCTTGTAACTTGTTAAATTTCTTCACAAGAGCAATTTTGGATTGTTTATCAGATTGTTTTATGCTTTTGAGCTTTGTTTCTTTTCGTGATGCCATATTTCCTTGATTTTTTAATACTGTTTGTAGCTATGGACTTCTGCTTTCCCATTTGAAATAGCAGATACGTTCTCAGTTTTTATGATTTCTTGGTTTATAGTTCACCAGTCTAGCTGTTAGAAACCATTCTTCTGTATCCCAGAAGGTGGTATAATAGCTAAAATTTGTAGTTATTTCCCTGCTCACCAACTGTGGCCTATTTTCTGAGCATGCTCCCTGCTTACTGGATCTTGCTCTCTTAGATGGAGTTGGGAGGGCACACATGGAGCTGGCAGCAGAGTTAGGAGAGGTGTGGGCTTAGCGCTTGGCTTGAGGGTGCCCGTGGGCCTGAGGGAGGATCCTTGAGGGGGGTACTACCAGGGGTTTGTGGGTAACTTCCTGTAGAAATGCTGAAGCAGACTGCAGGAACCACGTTCCTTTAGTGACCTTTGACATTCTAGTATCTTTCCTTTCCCAAGTCAGAGGGGGGTCTTTCTCAGAAATCTGGGTGCTATTGGAGACAGAGGTTTCTTTACCCACAACTCATGTAAGTGGCTTAGCTGGGGAGTCACTCTTTGCTTTTGCTTGCTACCACCTACTTTGGAGAGGTTGTTACTGCTACTGCCAAACAACTTAGCGTGCCGTGTCTCCCTGGGGAGGGGAGCAGCTCTGGCAAGTTCCTTCTTTTCTGCATCCAAACTCATCTCTACCCAGTTCCAGTGGCGTGCTGAACTTCCCCTCAGGTGGACTAGATTTCTGCAAATTCTGTTTTGCCTGTGGGGATCCACCAGGGTTCGGACTCTCTGGGTTTCTTTTCCAGTCCTGTTGAGTGGGATGTGCCGGGTTCACTAACTCCCTTGAATCTGTGTCCCTTCCTGAGGTCTTATTTTTGGATGCCCAGATCCCTTGGTGTAAGGTGCTGAGGTACTTTCATTTGGTTATGAATGTCCAATTAGTTGTTTAAAAAGGGAAGGAAAAAAGGAAGGACTTCTACTCCATGATGCTTGATGGTACCTTACAGTTCCCTACAGTTCCCAAGATTCGTACTTAATGTTGGTGAATTTGTTGTTTTGTTTTATGGGTCGCGCCTCTTCAGTCCTCCCTGTCTTGAGGTCATAAGCCTATTCTCCTGTATTGTCTATAGTGCTGTTCTAGCTGCTTATTAAATAATATAATCTTCTTCCCAACTTTGATAGAATATGTAACTTTATAAGGTATATTTATACTCAGAACAGTTAACACAGACTCAGGAGTCCGAGCTCCATGCTCCTCACATTTCCTGCTCCTTCCAGGGGGTCTCTGCTTACAGGCTTCAAGTTTCTGCTCATGAACAGCTTGAAAGAACAGTTAAGCTTGATAGGATTGAATCCTGGTTTGCTTTGTTAGTTGACAACTTTAGCACATTATTTAACCTCAGCCTCAGTTTCCTTACCTATAAAATGGGAATATTAGTCTTTTCTATGGAAGATGGTTGTAAGATTTAGAAGTGAGGTAAAACAGAGCTAACTTTGCGCATGGAAGATACACACAGTTGTTCTTTATTACATCAAAACAGAGCACTTCTTTCATTTCCAGAACTCCTCTCCCATCTACCCATTTGCCCAAGCCAAATGCACTCCCAGGGACATCTAATCTAACTAATCCTTCCGATGTTGATATCTTCTGAATCGATTAAGTAGGTTGAGCCATACGAAACTGCTGATACTCAGCTGTTTGGAACCTATCAGTGATTTAACACAGAGCAGGCAAAACATCTGTCTCCCCGGGTGCCCCATAAGCCTTCTCAGGTGCCCGCCACCCGCCTGAATGGATGCCGCTTCTGCTCTTCTCTGCTGTGTTCTCTGTGTAGCCTCCAGTGGCACACTCCAAAACTTTCAAATCTGGGGCATGTTTTTAAATTATTTTAATCTTTATTTCTGAGAGAGAGAGAGAGAGAGAGAGAGAGAGAGAGAGAGAGCACGAGTGGGGGAGGGACAGAGAGAGAGGGAGACACAGAATCTGAAGCAGGCTCCAGGCTCTGAGCTAGCTGTCAGCACAGAGCCCGACGCGTGAGATCATGACCTGAGCCGAAGTCAGACACTTAACTGACTGAGCCACCCATGTGCCCTGGGCGTGTTTTTAATATGGCCCTTTGGCACATAGGAAGAAAATATTAGAACATCAGTATATTTTTTAAAATTCACCTTAATTTGTTGTTGGTGAGTGTGTGTGTATAGGTTTATTCTATAACATATGTATTACTAATATAGTCTATGATTGGTATGCTGATCATAATCTAAAAAGTTTAGACCACAACAATTACATATGGATTTTAATTAAATACCCAGTTATTTTGTCAAGCAAAATACTATATTCTTGGATGCCTCTATCATACCTACCCTACACCTAACCTATAACTAAAGTCCTTGGGATTATCTCCAAAATACCTTTGGATTCATCTGTTAGGTTAGCTGAGCACCTGTCTGTTCCTCCACATTGTAAATTCTCAGAAGATATATATTGTCCTTGTCTTTCTTGGGTCACACTGGATTTAAGTGCCTAAATAAATATTTGAACTTCTATAATGAACGCCTGTGAATTAGTAAAGAAAAATATTAAGACTTCTTAGCTAATGGGTAAAGGATAGTAGTTCACAAAAGGATATGAACTAAGGAAATGTTTCACCATAGTATTAAGTAAATTTAAAACTTTCAATTAAATATGAAAACTAACTTCGACAATTATATTCTAACAGGTAATCCATTTCGAAGATCCAAGCCTGTGCCTACTCGTGATTTAGGCAGTTCGGATAAGGGACAAGTAAATATCTTTTTCTATATTTAAACAGATTCCTGAGACTTGAAATTGCTTGGTTAACTGACTTAAGTTTCTAAACCATTTATAAAAAAGGGTTTTACTTAACATTGTAAATGTTTTTTACATAACAACCAAATGCTAGCCATCGAATCCTGTAATAGGAGAATCTGGCATTTGGAAATAAATATAAGTTTTAGCTGCTTGAAACCTTATTATCTGACCTTTATGACAGATTAAAGAGAGCCTCTTGTCCTTACAGACGGCCTCACCCAGGGAGCCCCCGGAATCAGTGCACCTGTCAGAGCCTGAATATAAAGATGACGACAAAAAGGAGGAAAAAGAAGAAATCCAGGAAGAAATCAGTCATCTTGATGGAAAGGTGAAACATTTTTTAAAATAATGAATATTATAAGAAATAAATTTAGGTTAAAGTAGACTTGGAACACTTAAGATTCTAAAATAATTGCTCTTTAAGAGCACTCGGGCCTCAGAACTTCAGTTCCTTGGGGGAGGGTCTCAGCGTGAGTCTTTGGACCCCCACAGACATTCAGCAGCCCTTTCTAGTTCAGGGGCACGGCGAAGGAGGGAGTACAGTTCTTTGTTTCAACTCTGTTTCTCTAAACATGGCTAAAAAGCCTTTGGAATCCTGGGTACTTTTTAAAAGCCTCTGTTCTAGGCCTTACGCTTCCTGCAGCCTTTCCATCCATCGCTAGCTGCACAGTGTTATTCTTGTGCTGAGGAAAGGTTTTGAGCAGGGAGTTGCCTGGCTGAGGGGTCCAGCTAGGAGTAAGAATGAAAAGGGAAAGGGGACATGAAGAGGTTTGTTAGCAGGAAGGGAATGAGGTAGTTTTTCCTCAGGTTTACAGAAAATTTACTTTTCTGAATACCTTAGTTTGACCCATTTTAATGGAAATGATAAGGCCAAAATTCACTGGTAGTCTTGAGGAGTGAAGAAGGACAAAATAACAGTCAAAGAAAGTAATTAGACTTTCCCACCAACAATTTATTATACTAAAGCAGAGTTTGTACAGGAAATTTTTTTTTTTAGAAGAATTCCAGTTAATAAATGGAAAAGGAATGAGAAAACTCAAGAATCATCACTTTGCAATCTCTAATTGAAATACAGGACCGAGGCAGTAGTCCTGAATAACCACTGAACCCATAGAGGAGAGGTTGATGGGGCTTCGTGGCAGATCTAATGTTAACTCAGCTGATCCTGAGTTCATGAGGACAGCAGGGGACTGTAGCTATAAGCAGCTCTCAACAGCTCCTAGAAAGTGTTCTTGTCCAAATAATTCAACCAGAATTTAATCACACCTCTAGATGTGACTCCTGGTTTTTTCCCCAGGAAGTATAAGGGTATATGAGAACATGTTAGATGACACCATAATGGGAAAGCAGTCAACCAAATTCAGAATGTGGGAAATTTTACATGGTTAATGACCCAGTTCCTTTAATAAGTAACTGTCATTAAAAATGGACAGGGCAGGGACTGTTAAAAGGCTGAGATTTAAGACGTATATATCAAGTGTTGTATATGGACCCTGTTTTGATCTTGATTCAAATAAACTGTAAAAAGCCTTTTTTGTGCATTCGGAGAAAACATGGATGGTTACAATATGATAAAGGAATTACAGAATGTTAGGGGCAGCAATGATTTGGTTATGTTAAAACCCATTCTTAGGTCAACTGGTTTTACAGGTGAAGAGCTACCTATAGTATAGGAGGATTAGGAGGAACTTAACGGAGGACCAAGGGGGAGAAGAAGGAGGGAAATAGTGGGGGAGAGGGAGAGAGGCAAACCATGAGAGACTCTTGAATACTGAGGACTGATGGGTGTGGGGGGGGGAGGGGAGAGATGGGCATGGAGGGGGGCACTTGTGGGGATGAGCACGGGGTGTTATATGGAAACCAACTTGAGAATAAACTATTTGTAAAAAATAAAATAAAAATAAACTCCGCAAAAATGAAACTGAAAATGACACAAACAAATGGAAAGATACTACATTCTCATGGATTGGAAGAATATTATTAAAATGTCTGTACTGCCCAAAGCAGCCTGCAGATTCAGTGCCGTCCCTATCAAAATGCCAACAGCATTTTTTGCAAAACTAGAATACTAAAATTTGTATGGAACCACAAAAGACCCTGAATACCCAAAGCAGTCTTAAGAAACAATGTTCAAGACACACTACAAAGCTATAGTAAGGAACCAGTATGATACTGGTACAAAAATAGACACCTAGATCAATGGGACAGAAAGCGCAGAAATAAACCGATGCCTGTATAGTCAGTTAATCTATGACAAATGAGGCCAGAATATCCAGTGGGGAAAAGACAGTCTCTTCAATAAATGTCCAGGAAAACTGGACAGCTACCAGCAAAAGAAGGAAACTGGGCCACTTTTTATACCACACACAAAAACAAAGTCAAAATGGATTAAAGACCTACATTTGAGACCTAACACCATAAAAGATCTAGAAGAGAACACAGGCAGTACTTTTCTTCACATTGGACGTAGCATTTTTCCAGATATGTCTCCTGAGAGAAACAAAAGCAAAAATAAACTTTTGGGACTGCACCAAAATAAAAAGCTTTTGCACACAGAAAGGGAACCAGCAACAAAACAAAGGGCAATGTACTGAATGGGAGAAGATACTTGCAAATTATATATCTGATAAGGTGTTAATATCACGCATATATGAAGACCTTACACGACTCAACATCCAAACAACAAATAATCCAGTTAAAACATGGGCAGAGGATGTGAACATATTTTTCCAAAGACGACATACAGATGACCAGCAGACACATGAAAAGATCTCAACATCACTCATCATCAGGGAAATGCAAATCAAAACCACAGTGAGCTATCACTTTAAACCTGTCAGAATGGCTAAACTAAAAAAAGACAAAGCGTTGATGAGGATGTGGGGAAAAAGGAACCCTTGTACGCTGTTGATGGGAATGCAAAGTGGTGCAGTCACTGGAAGCAGTATGGAGGTTCCTAAAAAAGTTTAAAACAGAAATACCATATGATCCAGTAATGCCACTACTGGGTATTTACCCAAAGAAAACAAAGACACAAATTTCAAAAGATACATGTGCCCATATGTTTATTGCAGCATTGTTTACAATGGCCAATTTATAGAAGCAAACTAAGTGTACATTAATGGATAAGAAAGATGTGTGTGTGTGTGTGTGTGTGTGTGTGTGTGTGTGTACACACACAGGAATACTAGCCATTAAGAAAAGATGTGATCTTGCCATTTGCGACTACTGGTATAGGTCAGACTAAGTACCACATGATTTCACTTATGTGGAATCTAAAAAATTAAGCCAAAAGCAGATTCAGGCCTGTAAATACTGAGAATAAACTGATGGTTGCCAGAGAGAAGGGGGTGGGAACGGACAAAATGTGTCAAGGGGAATAGGAGGCACAGGTTTCCAGTTATGGGAGGAGTCAGTCATGGGGATGAAAGGTGCATCACAGGGATTAAGTACAGGTGATGGCATTGGAGTAGTGCGGTTTGGTGACAGATGGGAAAGCCACACTTACAGTGAGCAGAACAGAACGAATAGACTTGTAAAATCACCATGTTGTAAACCTGACACTAATATTCTGTACAGTCCAATACTCTAAAAAAGAGAACTCAGCAAAAAATGGGTTTGTTTTGGTAGAATAGGTGACAGAAGAATGGTGGGGTGTTGATACTTAGGAGTTTATTAACTTTTCTCCTTTTGTGACAATGTTGCTTATATTATGAACGATTCCAAAGTAGGCAATTTGGAAAAGAGTTATGGACATTTTTGTCATATGGTCTCAGAAGGAAATCTCTCCCATTGATCATCTTGTTTCTTTTTATAGATAGAAAAGGTTTATAAGAATGGGTGCCATGTTATATTGTTTCCAAATGGAACTCGAAAAGAAGTGAGTGCAGATGGGAAGACTGTCACCGTCACTTTCTTTAATGGTGATGTGAAGCAAGTCATGCCAGATGAGAGAGTGGTAGGTTTCCATAGACGTGTTTTTCTCCATGGCTTAAACATCTCTAGAGAAAAGGCATACTGACTTTGTGTCTTTACAGATCTACTACTACGCATCTGCCCAGACCACTCACACTACTTACCCAGAAGGACTAGAAGTCTTACATTTCTCAAGTGGACAAATAGGTAAAAACTTGCTCTGCCCTCTCCTAATAAAATAGTTTCCCTTTTTTTAAAAAATAAGGGGCGCCTTTGTAACTGAGTTGGTTGAGTGTCTGATGTTGGCTCAGGCCGTGATCTCAGTTTGTGATTTTGAGCCCTGTATCAGGCTCGCTGCTGTTATCACAGAGCTGGCTTTGGATCCTCTGTCCCCCGTTCTCTCTGCCCTTTCTCCGCTCATGCTCTCTCTCTCAAAAATGAATAAACTTTTTTAAAAAAATAGGAAAAAAAATAATCTTTTTTAAACAGAAAAACACTTTCCAGATGGGAGAAAAGAAATCACGTTTCCTGACCAGACAATCAAAAACCTATTTCCTGATGGACAAGAAGAAAGCATTTTTCCAGATGGTACAATCGTAAGAGTACAAAGGTAAGATACCTGTTAAATTTGCTTCTAGATTTGCCAATTTTCAACTTCTATTTCCAAGTGAAATTTTAAAGTCATTCAGAATGTATGTGAGTTTAGCACCGAGCACAGATACACACTTTGAGAGCAGGTGAAGAGTTTTCAGCATTTGGAGTTTAGAACTAGTTAGTTAGAGATGTATAGGTTCTAATATATATTCTATAGAAACTTAAAGGAAGTCTGTATAGCACATCACAAAGGGGAATGGCAAGTTTCTGTAGAGAAATAAATCTGGTGAAACTTGAAAATAGTGAATAAGACACAAAGAAGGAAGGCTGCCTGGTCAGATTTTAAGAACCACCAAGCAACGGCAACAGTATTTGAATTAGACTGTGTATCTCTTCTCTGGCTCCTATTTTGATTTGCTGGATCTCCTTGTCCTAGCTTGATTAGCATTTTATTCCTTGGCCTCCCTGACTCAATTTTTTAAAATAAAACCTCTTTCTCCTTCTGAGTGTTCCATTTCTTGAAGTTAGAGAATTCTTCGTAGTGCCTTCAGTCCACAGCACCGTTTCTCGTACTACCACGCAGGTTTGTCAGGCCCGCTGTCCCACTTTACACCCTCCTCTCCTAGGACGTGTGTGCGTTTATCTAACTTGAATTCTGTGATACACAGTTAGCAAAAAAGAAAAAAAATAAAGCTAAACACTAATTCAGATAATGTAGGAACTTCTTATGGTCATGGTAGGGTTCGCCCTGAATATGGTTTGAAACTTTCTCTGCTGCTCAAATACCAATCTCTTCTAAAATTTGCCATAAATCTTATCTGTACATTATACTCTGAACAATTTCAGAAACTTTTCCATCTTTAACTCTCATGTTTGAAATTTTCTATAATAAGAGGAGAAAATAATATGAAAACCTCCATGTACTTCTCTCTCCCTCCTCCAACAGTTGTTAACTCATGGCCAGTCTTTTTTCATCTAAACTCCAGCAAATCCCAGATATTAGTTCATTCAGGATTATTATATTAGTTCATTTTTGATTTATAGCCATGGTTCTTCAACTTCACTGCGTATTAGTCAGTTTAATGGCTGACTTCGGCTCAGGTCATGATCTCACAGCTCGTGGGTTTGAGCCATGTTCGTATTGGGCTCTGTGCTGACAGCTCAGAGCCTGGAGCTGCTTCGAATTCTGGTCTCCCTCTGCCCCTCCCCCACTCGCACTCTGTCTCTCAAAACTGAATAAACAGTAAAAAAATAAAAAACCCTGAAGTGGTGGCTCCGTTGCAGAATGCTGGGCCACATGCCAGTTGTTTGCGTTTCTAATGAAGTCTCAGGGCCACATGTGATGAAGCAGGGGCTCTCAAAATGACTTTTAAGTCTAACACTTAAGTGTGGCACAAAGCTATTACATTCACATGAATCTGAGAAATAACCAAGAAACCACCATGTGGAGAAGTGGTAATTCACAATCTGTAAATCTAGCTCTGTTTCTGACAGCGCATCATACTTGTATTTAGGGGTTCAGTTTGAATGTCCTGTGTGCACATCGAGCAGTCCACTTGGGATTAACTGCTTCTTTGGTGTCACGGCTTCTGAACAGGTCATAAGTCAAGTCTGACCCTTTCCCTTCCCGGGAACATAAACTCTTTACTGCAACCTGATAAAGAGCAAGGCCTGCTTATAACCTAGGGAAAAAAATAAAGGTCAAAACTGAAAGCTGTATTTTAATACAATGCCCAATTTATCTTAGATGCAAAATACGTGTAAAGTTAAAAAAACAAACCTAAGCATTTTGTAGTTTCACTATATAAATTTATTAAAAACTTTTCAAGGGCACATTTTTTTTTTTAATGTTTATTTTTGAGAGAGACGGAACGTGAGCTGGAGAGGGGTAGAGAGAAAGACACAGAATCACAAGCAGGCTCCAGGCTCTGAGCTGTCAGCACAGAGCCCGAGGCGGGGCTCGAACCCACGAGCCATGAGATATGACCTGATCTGAAGTCCAACACTTACCTGACTGAGCCACCCAGGCGCCCCACTTTTCATGGGCACATTTAAGTGCTAATTTGATCTTTGGAACTAGCAGCCTGAGGTAGAAACAGGATGGAAAGAATTTGCAAAGAAGGTATATTGTGCAAGGAAAGGACCACAGGAGACTCAAGAGAGAGAACTGTCAGAATCAAAAAGCCACTTTTAGATCATTTTCCTGTTATATATTTAAAATATTTAAAGAAATTAAATTCTATTTTAAATTTACAGAGATGGCAACAAAATCATAGAGTTTAATAATGGCCAGAGAGAACTTCACACTGCTCAGTTCAAGAGACGGGAATATCCAGATGGCACTGTTAAAACTGTATATACAAATGGTCATCAAGAAACAAAGTACACATCTGGCCGAGTAAGAGTTAAAGACAAGGATGGTAATGTTCTAATGGATACAAAATTGTAATGATCTTGTATGTAACTAATCATGAAATAACACTAACTTGATTTTCTTCTCAAAAAATGTACATTTCTTGTGGATTCTGTGGTTTAATTTATATAGAAGTGGGAAAGATTATGTTTGGATTATAAAATAAAACATCATAGCTTCTTATATTCTTTGAAATGTACAAGAACAGCTTTCATTTTTAATTCACTAAGGAAAGAGACTGTAAAAATGAGCCACTTACAATAGCACAGATTTTTCATGAGCACATCAGCCATAGAACAAGGACTTGCACAGCAATTTTACTCAGGGAATAAGAGAACGTCTGCAGTCAGAATATATGGTGTTCAATTAGTACTAAAATTAAAGCATTATATCTACTATAATCAAAGCATTTTATCTACTATAGAGGTTCTTAAATTATAATAGAATGGGAAGTTAAAACCATGAATAAATACAAACAGGTCAAACAACAACACAGGTAGAAGAGTTCATTGTGTGAGCACAGATACTCACAGGAGAAGAGTTACAGTGAGGGTGTGTAAGTGGTCAAAATGGGACACGTGAGGAGGGAGGGTGTGTGAAAAATAACCAGCTCGTGTTAACTGATCAACTACCAGTGCCCTGATGTTATAACCCATAAACCTGTAGGCTGACAGAAGCAAGATGTCCTTGAAGGAAGGGCAAGGCACCTGTGTGACTTTACGTGTAAGTACAGTTTGCTGTAGTTACTACAGTCATATTAGCAATGATGTGGTTTTTTAAGAAGCTAAATGTATCAATTCCAGGTGATTTAAGAACTGACATATGAAAAAAGTTGCAAACTTATCAAAGAAAACAAAGAGTTACATATATTATCTCAGGATAGAGAAGGACTTTTAAATGAAGCACAGTGGAAACTTTGACGTAGACGTATGAAAAATGTGTCCAAAGGTATCACAAAAAAGGATAAAAGATAAGCCATAGACTAGAAGATATATCTACTTGACAAAGGATTAATATCCAGAATATGTAAAGAATTCCTACTGATGATTACAAACAACTCAACACAAAAATGGACAAAGGATATGAAAAAGCAAACAAGTAACTGCTAAACCAGTGAATGCTTACTGAAATAATAAGATCCCTTTTTATACTAGTATCATATACTGATCACAAGACATGTTGCCAAGGGACTCAGACTACTGGTGGTAGAAAATGGAGTAAACCCCCTTCTGGAAAATAATTACCTCATGACCTAGTAATTTCCACTACAAAGTGTATATACTAGAAAACCAATAACATGTACACATATCTGTAACTGAGAAAAAACTGGCAACAACCTAAATATCTACCAACAGAATTATGTGCACAGACAGAAGAGTAAAAGTGAATGAAATGGAGCTCTGAATACCAACACGGATAACAGTGCTAGTGAGAAAATTAAAGATGCGATAGTGCATGCATTAAAAAATATACACAGCAGTACTGTGTCTTGCTTATGGATGCATTCATATGCAGTAAAATAAGAATGTAAGAACAATAAACACCAGATTCACAATAGTGTGCACGTCTTCAGGGAAGTGGATGATGGGGGACGGTCACTATAGGAGCCTCCAGCTGTTCTAAGAAGGTCTTGCTTAAACCGAATATATATTCGTTATAAAAAACAAACTATTTTTATGTGCCTAAAATACTTGATTTTGAAATTACTGTAAAACTAGAAAATACTTGAAAGCAAATATTTATTAACTATTTTTTCGAACAATTCCTAATATTTTAACATGTAAGAGGAAAAAAAAAAAAGGCCAGCACAACTGCAGAACAAGTCAAGAAAACGGCCTACATGTAACAGAAAACCTTCTTCTGGGCCGCTGTAGATGCTCTCCCCTGGACCTGAAAAACAAAATGCATGTTATATAGAACCTTTGCTTCATTTAATGTTCAAACCAGTTACTGAATCGCTTGTTACATTTATGTGCATGAACACACAGCTGGCTACCCAAGTACTTCAGCAGCTTTATGAGGACCTGGACTGCTCGGCAGTGTTCTGTGCATGCCCTGTCCTTGCGTGCCCGTCCCCAACAACTGTCTGGTACTCTGAGTGTCCTGATCGCCATCCAAGCATTCTTATGCACGCAGACCCTCTCTGGTTCCGGTACTCAACAGGTGCAAAGGGCATACGAAGAAGTCTGGATGAGAGTCCTGTTGAGCTTTGCGGTTATTCTTTGAGACATCAAGGAGAGTCCAAAGATGCTTTCATGGGCAGTGTAGTATTAATCTGCACAATATTAATTACATGCCTTATGCTGGTCATAAGGGTAAACAAGAAGTCCTGAAACTTACATCACTCATCTCGGTCTGCAAGCCCCATTTCTACCAATGACATATGAACTGGATACTGTTCATCTTGATATAATGTCACTATTTGCTCTGGTGCCTGAGCCTAAAATTAAAAGATAGTTATCAAGAAAATATAATAATGTCTTTGCTGGTTTTTCTCTCCTACATCTGGACTATAAACAGGAAGGAAAAGGCATTCTCCAAGTTTATTAATAATTTATTCTTCAAAAAGGTATTTGTGATGGTTTCCTATTAAATCCCATCCTTTCCATTCTTATATTGTATTTAAAGTTTAAGCCTTTCCAAAAGTTTACCTAGATTGAGCCAATGGGCTATAACACTCCATCCCTATTAAAATTCATTTATATTCTACCCATATACCTTTATGTATAAACTGACCAAATTTTGAGTATTATTCATGGAGGTCAATAAATATGTTTATCTGTAAGAATACTTACTGTGTTTCCACTGGCTTCCTGAGAGGAACTGTACATAAGCTATTTACACTACTCTGCGCACACAGAAGCATGGTATGTACCTCTAGAGGTTTTCAAAACATACTTTCTAGTTGTTTCATTAAGAGCTCATTCTGGTCAGAGCCAGTACATCAGGAATCCCCAAACCCTGAATAGGCTGGGCTGAAACAACAGTGTTGAGGACTAGGCTGAATTAAAGAGAGTTATTTCCATTCAAAGGGGTTGTTGCTACACCACTCCAGCTGAGTGCCATTTTGGAAAGGACCCAGGATTCCTGAATTTATCATATTTAATCAGAAGTTAGAAACACAGAATTTGGGGGGATAAAATTTTCCAATTTTAAACACTGCACTAAGTAAAACAGGTTCAGGCCAGATTCTCCCTATGGGCCACCCCTTTATGGCATGTTAATCCTCTAAACAAAGCATTTTTACATTAAACATGATCTGGACTTTATTATTTGAACCTTTTTTTTTCCCATTAAGGTGTTATATGCATGATATAGGTGTGGTGTGTGTGTTGTGGTACATGTGTGTTTATGTGTTGTGTTGGTATGTGTGTGGTATATTTTGGTGTGGCTTTTTGTGTTATATGTGGGTTATATGTAGTTTGTGTGTGCTGTATATATATATTTTTTAATGTTTTTATTTATCTCTGAGAGAGAGAGAGAGAGAGACAGCATGAGTAGGGGAGGGTCAGAGACCAAGGGAGATACAGAATTTGAAGCAGGCTCCAGGCTCTGAGCTGTCAGCACAGAGCCCGACGTGGGACTCGAACTCACGAACCATGAGATCATGCCCTGAGCCGAAGTCGGATGCTTAACCGACTGAGCCACCCAGGCGCCCCAGTATGTGCTGTATATTTGGAGGATGTGATGTTTATGCTGTGTGTATGGATTGTGTGGTATATATGCTCTGTGTGTCTGGTATATGAGCAGTGTGAGTGGTTCTGACTGGTGCATGGTGTGTTTGTAGTGTATGTGTTGTGTGTAATGTGTGTGCATTATGTGTGAGATACTGCATGGTGTATCAAATGTGTATGTGGTATATACTTGTGTGTGCAGTATGAGTGGTGTGCATGATGTTTAAGTGTTGGGTGGTATGTTTGCATGGCAGGTATTTGGTACGTGTGGTGTGTAAATAGTGTGTGTCAAGTGCAGTATGTGTTTATATTTCCTATGTGTTGTATGTGTTGTTTTGTGTGCTGCCTTAGTGTGTGGTTTATGCTGGTGTCTGTTGTGAGTGGTGTGTGTGTTCCATCCAGTGTTGTGTTGGTTATGTGTGGTACCTATGTGGTGTATGTATGGTGTGTGATTGATATTTCTGTAATGTATGTTGTATATCTGGGCTTTTTTGTGGCATATGTGTGCTATGTTTAGTGTGTGTTATGTATGTGATTGTGTGTGTGGTATACGTGTACTGTGTCAGGTATGTGTGGCATGTGTGTGTGATGTTTTTTGTGTGATATATGTGTGGTGTTTGTGTTATATGTAGGGTAAGTATTGGGTGTATGGTATTTATGTGTGGTGTATGTATAGTGTGGTACATATGTGATGAATGGGTTGTGTGTGCAGTTCATAGTATAAATGTGTTGTGGGTGTGATGTGTGATGTTTGAATGCTGAGTGATGTATTTGGTTGGTGTGTACTGAAGGAGTATATGGTGTTTGGGTGGTTTGGTTGCAATATATTTTATGTGTTTTCTCTGAGTGTAGTGTGTGTTGTGTATTTCTCTGTATTATGTGTGGGGTGTGAGTGCTGTATATGTGATGCAGGTTACTGGTGGTGTATGTGTGGTGTCTGTGTTAAGTGTTTGGTGTTTTTGAGTTGTTCATGTGCTGGTTATGTTTGGCGTCTCTGGTGAACATGTGGTGTGTGTGAATGGTATTCTTGTTGTGTGGGATGTATGTGGTATGCATGCTATTTGTGGTATTTGTGTGTCTTGTGTGTTTTGTTTGTGTAATTCTTGTGTATATTTCAAGTGGGTGTGTAATGTGTCTCGTGTGGTATGTGTGTGCTCTGAGTGGTTTTTTATGATGTGTGGTTTGTGTAAAACGTCTTTGGTATGTATTCTAGGATGTGTGTTTTCTTGTGTGGTATGTGGTGTATGGGTGTCTTTGCCATTTATTTTATATAAGTGTAATGTGTGTCGTATATTCCCCTGTGTGTGTTATGTATGGAATGTGAGTGCTGTGTTTATTTGAACCTTCTGGTAGTAGCTTCCACTGCATTAAATTCAAAATTAGCACATATCAGTCCTTTCCATGGCTTCAACCAGAATTCTAT